ACCAATGCTGAGTAGCCAGCATTATGCCATTGTTTAATAACCTTTAGGATATCTTTGGGACATTTAAGTTCAATCAAAATGCATAAAGTAAAAATTAATTTGTGGGCCAGATTTAAAGTTAAACACTTAAATGTATTTACATATCACAAAAATAAAAATGCATCCACACAAGCAAACAAATACCCTGAAGACCTAACAACAGCCTTCTCCAGCTGTTGTCGAATCACCGTATCTCAGACAGGAAGTGCCAGCTAATAGATCAGACAGAGAAGAGCCACCCAAACAGAGACTGCGAAAGTGAGCCCATGGGGATCAGACCGGGAGCCGACGCGCACCGACCGGTGAGACATGACATCATCCTGCAATCTACCTCACCGTCAGTGCTTTATCACTTCAGATGTGCTCTCTCTCGAAAGAGGCACCATTTACCCTCTGAGCGTCTCTGAAAAGCATTATTTCAGCCGGTTTTAATGGCTGTCCACTGACACAAAGGAGGAAAAAAAATACAAGAAAATCATGTCATTTCTCCTCAAGGAAATGTCAGAAGAGTTATTCAAAAATCAATTGCACTAACTAACATCTGCAACATATCAATCGACCGAGTGATGAGGTCATCGAGCACCAAACCTAGTCCCCCAGGTTCATCCTGGAGGTGAACTATTGACTCATTACCAAGTTCTCGGAGCTCGACGGAAACCCCAAAACTATTTAATCTCACTTCCTCTGGGCCACGGCATCCAACGGCACATAAAAAACCTCAATTAAGTGCAACGACAGACAATAGACTGAAGGTCTATGATTATGTGAGCACGGAAACCCTCAGGTACCTATTGTGACACGAATCCACACTTTAAAAACATGTTTTAAACAAGGAGGACATGTTCCTGGATCAAAATGGGAATAACCTCGCAATCAACCAATTGGATGAAGGTAGGGACTTTACGAACACTATCATTTCCCTCTGCTTTTAGGACTTAGATATGTTTAAGCTCATAGGTAGTGTATAGAGATGCACCAATGTTACAATTCAGGCAATATCAATAAGTTGAATATTATTTTAATGCTATGGCTGATAACCAATAAATGGTAAAGAAGTAAAGAACGACTTGAATTATCTATAGTATATGCAAAAATATTTCTGCTGATTAAAAAAAAGCACACTGTTTAAATTAGACATCTTAAAGGGGAAGTGCATGTCAAGAAATGGTGCACTCAAATAGTTAAATCTTTGTCGTAATCTATTGCTATTCCTTTAAAGGGGTCATGAACTGCCTTTTTTATTATTTTGTACTGTTCTCTGAAGTCCACTTATAATGTTATTACAATTTTTTACATCATAATTTAGAAGTAATAGGCTATTTTCTGTCCTGTTTTGACCCCCCTCATCAGAACGCTCTGTTTGAATAGGTGTGGCGAATTGTAGACCCTTTATCATTTGGTTTCCACATAGACCTGCATTCGTCTCTCTCGTTATTTACACAACCTGCGTGAATCAGTGGGCGGGGCTAAACAGATAGTGATGTAATAGCAGGCGTTGATTGAGTTTAGTCACTCTATTACATCACAAAGTTTTTATTTTAATAAAAAAATTTTTTAATCATTTTAAATTCCTTGTTTTACTGTTGTGATTATTTTTTTATGATTATTTTACTTCCTTTTATGTAAAGCACATTGAATTACCATTGTGTATGAAATGTGCTATATAAATAAACTTGCCTTGCCTTGCCTAAAGTGGCACGTTCCACAACCTGTCGTTTTGGCAGAATTGCTTCAATATAAGCTGTTTTTAGACTAATGAGAAAGCATATATAAAGCATCAAGGGTTTCCAGAGGCAGACCGTGTGTGGTACACTTGACTGGTTTAAAATGTCAGAGGCGTATTGATTTTGATGTCTAGCCATCACCTTCTTCATCTCTCACATAATAAGCTATTGCTTCCCACCCTGTCCGGTTTGAATAGATTTTTCATCAAAGATACATTACATCAGATTAAGATGTGTAATAGTGTTAGACAGTTTACCCTACACAGGCATTCCTGAATAGTCTGCAACATGTCACAATTAGGTCAATAGGAATCATGTATAGCATCCACAAATTAGTTTTTCAGGAACAACAAAAGAAGAAAAAAAACAGACAATAGACTGAAGGTCTATGATTATGTGAGCACGGAAACCCTCAGGTACCTATTGTGACACGAATCCACACTTTAAAAACATGTTTTAAACAAGGAGGACATGTTCCTGGATCAAAATGGGAATAACCTCGCAATCAACCAATTGGATGAAGGTAGGGACTTTACGAACACTATCATTTCCCTCTGCTTTTAGGACTTAGATATGTTTAAGCTCATAGGTAGTGTATAGAGATGCACCAATGTTACAATTCAGGCAATATCAATAAGTTGAATATTATTTTAATGCTATGGCTGATAACCAATAAATGGTAAAGAAGTAAAGAACGACTTGAATTATCTATAGTATATGCAAAAATATTTCTGCTGATTAAAAAAAAGCACACTGTTTAAATTAGACATCTTAAAGGGGAAGTGCATGTCAAGAAATGGTGCACTCAAATAGTTAAATCTTTGTCGTAATCTATTGCTATTCCTTTAAAGGGGTCATGAACTGCCTTTTTTATTATTTTGTACTGTTCTCTGAAGTCCACTTATAATGTTATTACAATTTTTTACATCATAATTTAGAAGTAATAGGCTATTTTCTGTCCTGTTTTGACCCCCCTCATCAGAACGCTCTGTTTGAATAGGTGTGGCGAATTGTAGACCCTTTATCATTTGGTTTCCACATAGACCTGCATTCGTCTCTCTCGTTATTTACACAACCTGCGTGAATCAGTGGGCGGGGCTAAACAGATAGTGATGTAATAGCAGGCGTTGATTGAGTTTAGTCACTCTATTACATCACAAAGTTTTTATTTTAATAAAAAAATTTTTTAATCATTTTAAATTCCTTGTTTTACTGTTGTGATTATTTTTTTATGATTATTTTACTTCCTTTTATGTAAAGCACATTGAATTACCATTGTGTATGAAATGTGCTATATAAATAAACTTGCCTTGCCTTGCCTAAAGTGGCACGTTCCACAACCTGTCGTTTTGGCAGAATTGCTTCAATATAAGCTGTTTTTAGACTAATGAGAAAGCTAAGTTCTGAAACGTAGAGGATGTTTTTCTCAGTTCATGACCCCTTTAAATTAGTGCTAGATATCAGGAAAAAAAACTTTTAAAATGAGCAGAAACCATTAAATATCCAATATAGGCTAATACAAATTAATTAATTAAAGACATATATAGTATCTTGAGCATTGGTGGAGGTGATGAATTGTGCATTTGGGCTTGGCCTATGATTGTTTGAAAAGAGTGTGATTGTTCCATAAGAAAGTTGATAAAACAATGTCGATCCACAGACAATAGACTGAAGGTCTATGATTATGTGAGCACGGAAACCCTCAGGTACCTATTGTGACACGAATCCACACTTTAAAAACATGTTTTAAACAAGGAGGACATGTTCCTGGATCAAAATGGGAATAACCTCGCAATCAACCAATTGGATGAAGTTAGGGACTTTACGAACACTACCTCTGCCCTCTGCTTTTAGGACTTTTAGGATATGTTTAAGCTCATAGGTAGTGTATAGAGATGCACCAATGTTACAATTCAGGCAATATCAATAAGTTGAATATTATTTTAATGTTATGGCTGATAACCAATAAATGGTAAAGAAGTAAAGAACGACTTGAATTATCTATAGTATATGCAAAAATATTCCTGCTGAAAATCCACTATTAAAAAAAGCACACTGTTTAAATTAGACATCTTAAAGGGGAAGTGCATGTCAAGAGATGGTGCACTCAAATAGTTAAATCTTTGTCGTAATCTATTGCTGTTTCTTTAAAGGGGTCATGAACTGCCTTTTTTATTATTTTGTACTGTTCTCTGAAATCCACTTATAATGTTATTAAAAATTTTTACATCATAATTTAGAAGTAATAGGCTATTTTCTGTCCTGTTTTGACCCCCCTCATCAGAACGCTCTGTTTGAATAGGTGTGGCGAATTGTAGACCCTTTATCATTTGGTTTCCACGTAGACCTGCATTCGTCTCTCTCGTTATTTACACAACCTGCGTGAATCAGTGGGCGGGGCTAAACAGGCAGTGATGTAATAGCAGGCGTTGATTGAGTTTAGTCACTCTATTACATCACAAAGTTTTTATTTTAATAAAAAAATTTTTTAATCATTTTAAATTCCTTGTTTTACTGTTGTGATTATTTTTTTATGATTATTTTACTTCCTTTTATGTAAAGCACATTGAATTACCATTGTGTATGAAATGTGCTATATAAATAAACTTGCCTTGCCTTGCCTAAAGTGGCACGTTCCACAACCTGTCGTTTTGGCAGAATTGCTTCAATATAAGCTGTTTTTAGACTAATGAGAAAGTTGAGTTCAGAAACGTAGATTTAAATTAGTGCTAGATATCAGGAAAAAAAACTTTTAAAATGAGCAGAAACCATTAAATATCCAATATAGGCTAATACAAATTAATTAATTAAAGACATATATAGTATCTTGAGCATTGGTGGAGGTGATGAATTGTGCATTTGGGCTTGGCCTATGATTGTTTGAAAAGAGTGTGATTGTTCCATAAGAAAGTTGATAAAACAATGTCGATCCATGAACAAGTTGTTCCTATTTCCAGATAAACTTCATTTGTTGATGCTGAAAGCAAAGAATTCCTGTCAAGCAAACATAGTCCTAAATACCCCTAACTTAATCCCAAAAACCAGAAGGAAATATTAAGTTCATTATAAGTACGTTGCTGTTGTTTATGCCAACCCCAACACAACCCTAAGCATAACCCTGAGCCTACACCTAAAATGTGATGGGTAGCTCAAGGATTTTGATCTACTTGGCAAAGTTGTGATCAAAAATGCTTGAAATAAAACAGATTCAGAGTGAAAATTAATTCAAAAACTCACCGTATTAATACAAGGCAATTCCTTGTTGAGCAACCATGGCAGAGACAGCTTTCCTTCCCCGCGGTAACACGACTTGATCCTCTCTCGCATGGCCAGGTTGATCTGGTGCAGCGTGAAGAGGCACAGCACTGTTTCTCTCGGTGGGTTAGCCCTGTTCTTCTGACCCTGGGAAAAGATCACAAACAGGACATCCTCGTCCTCAGAAAGGCCGAGAGCCTGGGCCAGAATCTTCCCAGGACGGTGCTTGTAGGCAGCTTGGACAAGTCGGTATTCCACCCCATCCTTGGTGCACCCAAGTGGGAACTCGATGTAGGAGTAGAACTCTGTGTCGTTGGAGCACATGCGGACGATTTTTGAGGTAAAGAACTTCTCGCCCGTCGCATCCACCTGGGTGAGCTGGGTATCCAGTTGCAAAGTGAGAAAATAGATGTACGTGCGGCTGGAGAACCCGTAAACGTAGTAGATGTCAAATGCGGGATATTGAGACAGAGTGTCTGAAGGTATCTTGATTTGAGAGGACACAAACTCATCTTGGTAAACCAAGCTGAACATTTCCATTTTCTCCTCATCGGCCACCAGTTTACGGCTGGACAAGGTTGGGAAATACTCTGATTTGCCATCGATGGCGGAGCCGATGAAGAGGCGGCTGTCACCTTTCTTTTTCTTCTTCAAGTCTCCGTCGTCATAGCCCACCACAACTCCAGCCATTCCATCTGGCTCTTTGGCTCCTGAGAGGTAGTGTTCTTTACGGTGATGCGGTTCACCAAGCTTGAAGAGATCTTCTAGCCGCAGGAACTGGCACACGCCCTGCCAGATGCTTCCACAAGCCACCAGACGGTTGCCAGCGTAATCAACCAGCAGCAATTTGTTGACGTTGTCTGTGGATTCCAGTTTTTGCGTGCATGGTCGTACGCTGGGGGGCGGGTAGCACTTGGCGTTGTCCTCCACGGGACCCGTCTGGTGTGAGCGCAGTTCAGTCAGATTGGCGGAGAGCTTGTAGACTCGGTTTATTGCACCGACGAACACCTCGCCAGTCTTGCGGTGCACAGTGAGGTGCGTGAGGCTCATGTCTTTAACACTGAAGCTCCCGGAGACTTCAGGGGGTTCGGTAGGAGTCATGGGAAATGCCATGTTGGTCCCAGTCAAAACAGAGATGGAAAATACCAGCAGCAACAAGGACCTCATGATTCCAGACCTTCTAAATTGGAGGGGGAATGAGACAAAGCTCTTCCCTCAAGCGTATTCCAGGCTTTTTCTTCTTTTGCTGTCTCAGTGGTTCATGTCTACAATTAAAGAGAGAGAGAGAAACAAGGAAAAAATTAGTTCATCTGAAAATGGATTATGCAGGCAAAGCAATGCCTTATCATTAAAAGTTTAATTGCATTAAAGGGGTCATCATTGCACTGCCTCTTCCTTCACTAACAACCTCTTTCTAATTCTGCAATACTTATCAGCATCACAAATCAATCAAGAAACTGTTGATCATGCATCTAGTAGCAATACTACTTGTTTCTAATGCTGAGATTCTTTGGAAAGATTTGCAAAGCAGCTAGTGCCATATAAAGCCACAAACAAGATTTTTCCACATTTTACGGAGGATCCCTCAAGCTCAAACAATAAAGAGCCAACAGCGCCAAGATCATGGGTTTGATTCCCTGGGAATGCATAAACTTGATAAACTTAAAATCTAATAAAATGCATACCTTGTCTGCCATAAAATGCATCCAACTTTCTTTCTATTACCTCACTGCAATTAGTCAGGCCAAGTTTCTAAACACTGAATAAACGTTGTTGGTGTGTACATGTTGATAGCTAAGTGTTGCATGTATTTATCCGTCTTGTACACATGCACAAGAGGCACTCTTGCAGATTCTTACCGGAAATTAAGCTTTGAGTTCTAGTACAATGAACTTTGACGATAACTGATTTTAAAACCCAACAAACAGAATCTTAGCACTTCTGCCTGAGACTCAATCCATCCCTGCCTGCTCTCCATTTGGAGGCATTAGTGACTCAGAGTGGACTGTGAGTCAGTGCGTGACAGCTGGGTGAGGGGATTTTGGGGGTATGTATTGATCGAGTGGCTTCTGTTGGTGCCAAGCCTTGTCACTCCCACTCCTTTCACTCAATGGATTGCTAATAAACCTTTATGGTCATTGCAAGCACTAATACCAAGCGCATTTGTTAATTAGGAAGCAGCCCTTAACCAGACAGCAAGAACAGGGATGGAAATCGTAAGGAATTTAACGATACGGACTCTGATTCAAGTGATTCTGTATTTTTAACAATTCTTTGTGATTTGGAGAAGAAAAGGACAGACAATAGAAACTATTCCACTGCTCTCAAAGGCCTGTTTTCAAATGATGATTATTTTTTATATTCAAAACAATAATGCAGGGTTCCCACACTTTGCAACAAATATATTTCCATGACCTTTTCATGAACTTTCCAAATAATTCTGATTACTGAATAAGAATACATAAAACCGATTCAATCAAAATCAATTCAATTTGGGAACATGTTTAACCAATTGAACCAAACCAAATTTTGTGGTTACAATCGGACTGTGGCTTGAAAGTAAATTTTCCGCAATTAAATAGTTTAGAACATAACTAGAACAACTTATAATCATTTTAGAAACTCCATGACTTTTATAGGCCTGGAAAATGGAATTTGAAATGTTCTGATATAACCAGGTTTTCCTTGACTATGGAAAAGAAATGTTTCATATTTTAAAAATCTAAATATATAAACGCACAACATGAAATGGTGCACTTTTTCAGACTGCAAGAAATGATGAATCTCTCACACTCCTGTTAACCGAATAGCACGAAAATAATTTGCTTTTATTTCAAATAAAAAAGGAACTAGTTTTGAATAAGAACCTTTCTCAATTTTTAAACCCGAGCAAGATCACAGAGAGAAGACAGAAAGAACACAAAAAACACAGCGAGAGGTTATAGCACCATTTCATTCACTCTTGGAAAATTTAACACAAGCAGTTTGCAGATCAAACACATCGGTCGTTTGTTCAATCGCTTCTTCCCCCCACTGGGCAGAACAGCAGGAATGAAAAAGGTCTGCATGGCTTCTGTTGTCTGTCTCCCTTTCTTTCTTTCTGTCTTTCTCTCTTTCCAAAGAGAAGGGAAGGGAAGGGTCGGGAAGGGCCACATTAAACACACACGGCCGGAATAAGGCTTCACTTCAACCACAATCTAAGCACTACAGTTTTTCTGCATCTGGCAGGACTAAGGGGTCTTGCTTCAATTTGTCTCTGGAAAACATGTGCTCAAGCTACGGCCACAATGTTTTTATTCAATAATACATCATAATATTCAATTCTCACTATACTGTACAGCTACTTTAGAATCTGTATCAGTACTTTGACTATTTGTGTGTTCAGTTAATGAAAAAGCAGGTTTTAAAGGGGTCATATGATGTGGCTAAAAAGAACCTTATTTTGTGTTTTAAAGCTTGTTGTTTTACAGAACATCACAGTTATATATGACATGAGAATAAGGCCTGAAGTTAGGAAGAGCATTTTAAGGAAAATATCAATTCTATTTTCATAATGATTTTTTTCTTCTCAAACCTTGTATGTGGTGTAAAAACACCCCTGGCCAAATCACTTCCCACTTTGATAATTACTGTAGTTACCATGTTCTGAACATTACATCCTTTCTTTTCCCCCAGATGTAATCTATCTAGGTGGCTGAATAAAAATATTTGAACTTTATATCTAAAAATTACCTCAACTTAGCACCAGCAAGCTTGTTAGCTAGACAGTTAGCATCAGCTAACAATATTTACTTATTTTCAGTATGGTTATGACGAATAAACATTCATCTGTCTACTCCGCTAGTTAACCCAAACAATATCAAAATTTATACTGTTGATAAACAATATAAAAACAGACGTCACATAGGGCTAAATGCGTAGCATTTTAATAAAACTGTTAACGTTCAGGCAGCGGGGAATATGAACGTGCATGAGTTATTTTATTTAATCTGTGTTATTTTAATGTTTCGGGTTTTTTTATACCTAAAACATAGAGACACTGATATTGATGTGTCTGCATTCAAGCATTTCAGTGGGCTTAAATAGATCACCCTTTACAGCAGATTTAGTTAACAAACAACTGACAGTTTTGACCTAAATATGATTTTCAGTTACAATAATTAATCCTAAACTTCGACATTAGTAATTTACTTTTAGCAGCATCAGTCGTGCGCGCACTCACAAGATCTCCCGGTTCTTACTTGTGAATTCAGTTCACTGGAGACTCGCACTAAATGGTTCATTTGAATCAGTGAGTTGTCGCCTCGAGAACAGCTGCAATCGGATCATTCTAATTCGTGAATGAATCGTTTGGTGCGATTTGCGAACCGATTTAAAAGGTTCATTGAAAAGAATCAGTTTGTTCTTGAATCAGACACCGCTTCTGCGTCTCGGAGCACGTGATATATTAGGAGTAACGCTATGTTTTATGAAATGTAGTGAAGTAAAAAGTACGATCTTATGCTTTGGAATGTAGTGAAGTAAAAGTAAAAGTTACTTAAAATAAAACTACTCCAGTAAAAGTACAGATACTTGAAAAATGTACTGAAGTACAGTAACGAAGTAAAACTACTCCGTTACTGTCCACCACTGCAAGCGTGTGACGGAAATGTACCGGCCCTTACCATACTGTGATACCGTGTCCCGGCGCGATGAGACAAAACCAGTTAAACCCATTATAAACGAGGCATTTGTTGCATTCAGTGGGGACATAATTACTGATTATAATGACTTATACGGTCGCTATACGCGTTGCGTATCGCGCTGTGTAAACATAAAACCATGTCTGCATTTGTGATCGGAGAAACAACAAACAACAAGCGCTACTCTACACTGCTCAAAACTCACGTTTGAATCGTCAGTGGCAAATTCTTTAAATATGAAAACGTACTTGCAGTCTGTGAGTCAGAAGCGCCAGACTGTCCTTGCAAAGTTGGAACTGCCCCACTTTATAGAAACAGACACTGGCATTGTAGGCTACTCTCCCAGGAAAGAGTCCTCGTCCTCCATAAAATGCGCTGCACACATCTGAATATTTAGGTTGAAGTGTTCTGGAACAGTGTTGTAAATACAGCTTAACCAAATACAACTTAACCACTGATTTCTAGTTGTGTCCTCTTTTGGAAAGCCAAACAAAGTAATTTTGCTTTCATAACGAAACACACAGCGTCTTCACAACATGGCGACGGCAGCAACAATACTACAGTGAGAATCAAAGTTACGCCTTCTTTCTTTCCGTGAACATTTGGGCGGCGTTATGCAAATCTTCCCACATCGTGACGTAGACATGCGGGGGCGTGTTAGAACGAGCCGTTTTAGGTAGGCATGGTTGACTTAATTTTATAAAGAATATCTCTTTGGATTTGAGACTTTAGTCTTTGCAACTTTACAGATCTTCTTTATGCACCAAGAGCTTGTAACCCTCCAAAGAGAAAGGAACAATTTTAATTGCATCATATGACCCCTTTAAAATCACATCCTTCACAAATTTAAATCCCATAAATGACAAATTTCAAACACAAACAAGTGTCGGCAGGCTTCAAACCTAAAAACTCATTTAAAAAGTGCATACGCATCACATTTTCAGGAGCATAATTAAATAGTCCACATGAAAACAAAGTATTTACAACACAACCACTCATTAATTCAACCGAAATCCGCATGTTAAACAAAAAAAAGATGTAAATTACCAAGAAGCGCACCAGATTCCTGTAATTTAACGTTGCGAACAATCTGGGGGAAAAAAATCACTGCAGACTTCAGGTTCCTAAAATCCGAAATCCTTGCTTATTTTATTATAATGATGTATCGTAATACATTCTCTGATTTGCAGGAGAAGCTATTGAACAGCAATCACAGTAATTTCATTAGCACAGTAGAAGCCGGCTGGTCCCAGTTAAAAAGCTGAATGCCTAAGCAGAACGTTTTAACCCAGGAAAGACAGACAGAGAGAGCGTCAGGGAGTATCTGTTCAGATCTAAGCATTACTGTACTTGTTAATAGCAAATTAGGTTGATCTGACAGTCTTTATAGTGTTTCTAGCTGTTTTCATAATGGCAAAACACACGATGGGTGGCCATGGAGCTCTGCATACGCTAAATAATATCGAAATTAAATCATTTGCACTAAATTTTCCATCAAAACAGAGCAGAGATAAAGCATACACATTCAAGTCGACGAAAGCATTAGCGTCCATTGGCAAATCTGCAATGACCCAAAACAAATA